GGAAATTCCAACGTCTCAAGCAAAACAAAAAACTGAGCACACCCGGACGTACAATCCGCCAAAAAATCAAGCAGTTTAGCACGGAATAGCAAACATTTCAGGGTGGAAAACAAGGATCGTTGGTTTCGGGGGGCATGCAAGATGACGACAGAACGGTGTAGGACCGGTCAGCAACCGAACAGCCACTACTGGTCCAGGCTAAACGGTCCTGAAGAAAGAGTCCTTCCCTGTGGGAATCGGTCCCATGGTCTATAACTGTTTAATGTGAATTTTAACGCTCTACTCGTGGAGGAGTCGTTTTTTAGGATGATATTATCCACCTAAAACCTTGATTGAATGGATTAGTTGTACACTATCTAGTCAAATCTTTGATTTTTCTAAAAAAATCCCCCGATTATGCGCTCAGCATTCCGTATCTGAAGAACACACGAGTCTAGCATTTACAACTAATTGGGTGACGTGAGTTTCAGAACCGTAAAAATCTAACACAGCTCCCCGGCATTTCCTTCAAGTTGCGTGGCAACTGCGGGAAACGACTGACAATAGGGTGAACAAACCGCTAAGGGTCGTGTAAAAGGCGAGAGGAAACGACAAAACTACAGGCTTTGGAAAGTGTAGAATAATAGGTGTGAATTCCCCAAGGGAAGTTCTCTCTCAAGGAGGAAAAAACGCGAGAACTAGCACAATTTCGAGGATGTGTGTGTGTGGGGGGGGGGGTTGTCGTGCGTAGTGTTTTCTAGTCAGCCTGCTTTCTCCTCCACCCACGCCGACTGTCTGAAATTCCAACAACGTCACCGGCCTGTTGTCAAAAAACAGCTGGAAACACCACAGCGCACCACTTGGACAACGTGTGCACACAGACGAAGGAAAGAGAATGCACAGAGAATGATCAGGGTGGAGAAAACGGGTTTCCTATTCTGACAGGACGTCAAATGTATCAGTTCCATTGCGTCACTTACCACCAACAGACAAATAAATAACGATTGCCACTTGTCGTGACAATCGGGACTGATATTGCCCACAGAATTTTCACCAATAGATTGGTTTTTTGCCGGGCCGACAGATTGCACTCCTGTAATCAGCATTCCTACGAGACTAACCTTTACGAGTATGGCGAATGAATGTGGGTATTCCACACATCCGATTTGACTCTGATGTCACGCACAGAGTTCTCGAAAACAGCACCGAAGATACCCCACCTCTATTTGACTGGTTGTTCCCGTCGAACGCGGTGCCCGTGAGTGCAATCATCCGTCGCAACTTTACTGACTGGCCTGGTAAATTATACGCGCAACTGTTTTTTAGACAGTCACGATAAACCCAAACAATCTGTTAGCCATGCACACCCTGTTAAATGATTCCGAAATCAGCTAGAACTTTTGCATATTCAGTCATAGCCCTCCGGTCTAGCGCATGATTTGTCGGATGCGAAAAAAAAAATGTTTTTATCAGACAGGGT